CCACGGGGGAGGATTAGGGGAACACATGGTTTTCGGAGCAAAAAACTGGCGATTAGGAGGGGATAATAAGAATATTACAGAACCGTAGGAGATCATCTAAGATCCTTCATCCCCCCTCCCCCCATCCCCCTCAAGTTAAAAAACTGGGAGTGTCATGAAATTGTTGTCGGTTTCTATGATTCAAAGTGCACTGATTGTCATATTTCAATATTTGTTTTTGTCTTCATACTTATCGGGTCGCAAACCTGACAATCTTCTGCCTCGCATTCCATAAAGTTTATTGATAGCTGGGTAACCTCTCGGAAGCGGCCTTTCAACGACAAAAGGTTTACACTTGTAGCGTGGACCGGTGAGAGTCATTCTCGTAAGCTTTTAATGATTCAGTTATGGAATCCTTTTTATTTTTTTCCGGGAAGTCCGCTTACCAGAGCCTACAATGGTCCAAACAGAACAATGCCAAAAGACCCACTTTTATTTAATTGGGCTCAAGCCAAAAGAACTGGGTCGATTACTGTAAGTCGAGGGATGTTAGTAAACTGTTGCGTCAAATACACAATAATAAGTAAAAGAGATTTTTTTTCAGTCATAATTCTTCTCGGAAGGGAGGGGGGGGATAGGAGAGGATTTTAGGAGGGTCACATGGTTCGTTCCTTTTCGTCCCCAAAAGAGCATAACAAAATTAAGGAATATTGACAATACGAATCCTAATCCTTTCCTTCTAAAGTAATCATGCTCTTCACATGTGATATGTTCATGCATGTCTTACTATTAATTCAAAGTTGAATGTCAATCGAACACCTTCCTCTGCCAATCCCCTCTGCTACAGGCTCTGAAACATTCCCCACTCACGTGGAAAGTTAACCAGCCGAGCTGGAACGAGTCTGAGCGCCAAATAATCCATACCATGCGAGACAAGCTGCTTCAAAAAAGGCTGAAAACGGCCTCTTCGAGGATGCCCTTTTTGCTCAAAGATCAAATGCAAAGTTCAAAACCTACCCTCCCCACCTCTGAGGTTTGGACACACGCATTACAGCAACCCACCCTCCTAATGACTAATCCCTGTTTGACGATAAGCTTTCCTGCGTTTTTTTAAGAGCGCTTAGACTTAATGTCCACCTTCAAGCGAAAACTCAGGGACTGCCGTGTCTTGGTAAATTTGGGCTGATATGCACGACAACCATTCAACTTGTTCATTTGATCATGACATGACGCCAAAACGAAACTATGCAACAATGCTTTATTCAAAATTTAAAAACAATCTGCAAAGAACAGCCATCAAGTCTGACATGCCTTCGTGAGTCTTTTATGAAGAAGACAAAACGTTCAGTCATGAGGGAAATAATTTGACCGCAATAGTTTCGAATGTTTTCTGCATTATTAATGAGATCTATTAAAATCTCTGATAAAAGACAAACACATTAGTGGAGTTGTTCTTTTATCAAACCCATGACGAGGCTCCTAACACATTTCTGCAGTACACTCGTTCCTGATTGAACAGAAATTGGGATATCCAAAGACTCTGCGACTGTGTAAGATGTAAACGTAAGTAAATATGTTTCACTTTGTCGGGCAAAGCATTTTTGGACGAGTAGGGCGATAAAAGCTTCTAAAAGCTGCTGTTTTCGTCAGCCTGGACTGATTATTCTCGAACAGAGAAGTTTATATGCTTTTTCAAGTTTACTGCGGTACTTGTTCAGTAACTAAGTTATGAACCGCAGAAAGACGATATTTAACACATCTTGAGGGAACTCAATAGCGATCAAAAGTATTTCGCAACGAAAAGGTCGAAGGAAACGATCATGAATATCGTTGGTTACCCAAATCTCACGCGTTTAATCTCTCTTTTTCTGTTCATTAGTCATATTTCTGGATCTCATGCAGCTGGGGTGATATCCACTGCTATGATTTCCATCCTCGTTGAAGTTTGAGTTACAATTTCTGGTATACTAAGTACTGTTGCAGAGATTGCGCCATAATAAAATCTTGTAAAGATATTGAAACGTTCTAGTGAACCCACCATGGAATTGAATATATTTTGTGTTTCTGTTTGCGACATGGAGGCGTCTTATGAAAAAATTTTCATACTCTTAACTCGTCCCAATTTGAGCAGTACTTAACTCGATAAAAGGGATGAAAATTCAATCTTACTTTTCTGAAATCAAAACTTTTCAACGGATGCGCCTACGGCAAAATACCGGGAACCCAGTGCTGCGTCATAGTAGAGACATGTTGGCTTCACTCAGCTGATAAGCTATTGATTTGATTTTACTTGAGCGGTTTTCAATTGAGTGTTGAAAATAATCCAAAATAACCATGCTCCCGCTTTACTTTGCTCTGTGACTGGTCCAGAAAACTCTCACCATCCTCTAAACGAAACAGGTTCAAAACTTGACCAATTACGTCTTAGTCAATACCGTTTTTTCGCGCTCCAGGTAGTTTGCTTGTTTCTACTTCGAGATCTCATTGGCTGCTTATGATGTTTTCCATAGTTTTCAGTGATTGATTTTGATGAGTTTGGCTTTAACTTTGCCACAATCAATATTTTATCTCCTTCCTGTCAAACGCCACTGTAGCCGCCTCGACCTTTACACCCTAACATCAGTATGCATATTCTCCATACTGTTCTCTATACATTTCCTAAGAGGCTGACAAGGAGAATTTGTTTAATAATCAAGAGCTTCTTTAATTGCTGATCATTTCCTTTATTCTCGTGACTTAAACATTTGATTCAAGGGAAGGATTGTAAAGAGAAATTAGAACCTTGTCACTCTCAGGGATTATAGGGTTAAAGCTAGATTTTCTTTGATTTATTTGTACTAGGCGGTCATCTCGATTGCTCGCGTTCAGTCTTGTAGTAAAAATAATCATCCTCTTTATTGTACAGAATTCTTTATAAATATCTACTGTTTTAGAAAAAAAAATGGCTTAGAAAGAGAACTCGGTCGAAACACCAGTGGCTGGATAACTATGGCTTATCTTTAAAAGACGTGATAACCATTGTGTTCTCTCGATATAATCGAAGCGTGACGTATAACGTGTGAAACAAGCTGGATATGTCACGTGCGCGTTTGTGAAAGGCTCGAAGTTATAGGCGAAGTGAGTTCTCACGTGTAGCTAAACGCGACGCATGAATCATCAGCGTATGTATTTGAGCCTGTTTGAAGAATGCATTTTATGGCTGAACTCCTAGCATAATGAAAGTACTGCTTAGATCCTACCCGCGAGCGAGGGGAGCGTGGGGCCCTCGTTCCTCGCCTCTTGACTTGCGTTTTTTTGTGATTAGCGCCAAAAAAAAACGAGAAAATTAAAAAATTTGAATCACCTGAGGAAACTTAAATTACTAAATCCATCTTGATGGAAAATAAACGTTTAAATACAACTAAGGCGTGCCAAAATGCATGCAGCAGTGACAGTTAACCATTATCCTATCATGCAACATAAGTATTGACGTGTAATCATTCGACCTCATCGCCTGACTAAGTCGATGTTTAGAAGCACTCAGCAGTTCAAACGTCACGATTTGTAACTCACAGTTTGATTCTACAATCAATGGTAACTATAAATCATAAGATAGAAATAAGAGAGATGGTAAGTTTTGAGCTCGGTAAAGAATTAAAGAAAGATGTTTTTCATCTTGCCACGAACGTGGGACAAAGAATCTACAAACATTACGCTATCGACATTGTTGATCCTAGTAGTATGCAGGACGCGTGTCATATGAACTTCGTAATAGACCTCGCTCACCATGGAGTCTCTGTGGCTCAGTGGTAGAGCATCGTAGCGCGGAATCCGAAGATCTGAGGTTCGATTCCTCATGGGGATACAGAATGTTTACCTTTGTTCCATGCTTGTGACAAGATGAAAACATCTTTCTTTCTTTATTTGTCATGTAAAGTAAGATACTAAGTCGCGAGAAAAACATTGTGACCTCCGTATGCTTAAATTCGAATGCCTCGGGCGTTAGTCATGAGTCGCTTCATCCCATCCCGTTTCTCTTTAGGCGGTGTTCTCTGCTGCGTATTTCAAGTATTTGACTCGTTACCGAGATGAGATTTCTTTACTTCCGAACGACGTCGGACTCTTAATTGTAAAGGTGAGTAAATAAATTCCCTTTTGTTGCCTGTTACTTGCCCAATCAGAACAATAAATTGATAAACCGACTATTTTCCCTCGCTCGCCATGCGGCGTATTCAGCTTAAATTTTGTAAGTTAATTAGGAGATGCGCCTAAATATCAACGACCTGAGAGACAGAGAAGTATTCCTTCACATCTTAGGCCAAAAATAAAAGCTAATCGTTAACATTTTATTTGAAGCAGCCAGACGATTCACTTCTATCTTGAAGGGGGTTGTGAGGTATTTCATAAAATGACTCAGATGGGGAGGCTCCGCCCATTAGACGGACCTTATCCAGGCTTCAGATTTTTTAACGGATTGCGAAATCTGTCGGTTTGATATTCAAAAGTAGGCTTAAAAGGGGTACAAATGTTTTGTGGAAAGTGTACGAAAAGGATGCCTTTTCTACAATTATAAAAGTGAGTAAGAGGTCGGACCTCGACGGAACCTTCTCATCTAGAACTTCTTGGAGCACCCCCTGCTTTTGATACCGCCGAGAGCAGTTTCCTGGCGGTATTGCATCCTTACCACTTTTTTCCTCAAACATTTTACATTGTCGTTGTAGCCAGACTCTGCGGAAGTTGTCTTACACAAGAGAAGAATTCATTCTCGCTGCCGATCTTTCACTTCGACATAGGCGAGAGAAGGTAAGTTATTTCTGCGTTTTATCTGGATCACATGTTTGTTGAGTCAATGCTGTCCAAAACTATGAAACGTTTAAAAACCGTTGGACCTCAAAGTGGAGTTTACCCGTATAGAACGTTTACTTCGTTAGTAACCTACCCCTTCCCTCGGTTGTCGATGCCGTAAGTGGCCTTTACTGAGCCTAAGTTTTAGCAAATTTTGCTTCTTACACTAATACGCTGTTGTTTCACTCCTTCGTAGTGGAAGCTGTTGTAAACGAGAAGGGAAGTTCACTCCGATTCAGACAAGAAAAGGTGAGACATCTTTGCGCTTTATTTGGACAACCAATGTGCACGTTTGTCGGATATTACTTTAAAAAATGCTGTCGGAAATTAATAGCATTTGAGAAGCGAAGGAGTCGACGGTTCGCCCGAAAGTAGTGGAAGCAGCTTGAACAAAAACCTTAAGTGCCGCTCTCGGTAAGAGCGGTCCTCTGGACTTCTCGTTGGAAAAAAAATTTTCTTTAATGATTTTACGCTATTATGGACCACAACGGTTTTGAGCGACAAACTCAAGATTTCCCTGCGATTATCAAAATCAACTGGACAAACCCAGCTTTATGTATTGCGTGACGTGTTATGCTAATTTTTCCCTTGTCATATAACCTGTTTCGCGGGTTGTAAAAAGTGAAATTATCGTTCTGGTATTCTACGACAGAAATCAGGGCTGAAATGCCCGCAGCTACTAGAATCTTTGCTTTCCATGAATCAAGTAAACATTTTAAAAGATTAAATTCTCAGTAAAATGTAAAATTCCTCAGTCCATTTTAATAAATTTCGATTCTAATTCAATGTAGGAGATAAACAAACGAAGTTTGAACGGTGAAGAGGAGATCTTAGTCAATTTTCAGAGTTATGCAAATGTTCTTTGACACAAGCGCAATTTAGCAAACACATGGATTTGCGTTGTTTTTAAGATGTTGGTGGTTGAAAGTTAGAGATATACCCGCGGGTTTGAGGCAATCGGTGACCTCACTGATGTATAAACTATGTACCGATATGCTTTTTTAGCCCGATGAACGCCTGCAATTTGAGAATTCTTTCGTACAAAATGGTGAACTTTTGATATGAAAATTAAGGTCGAAGAAAAAAATTTCAGGTGAAGTTTCCATATTTTGTCTGTGAACTAACTGAATACATCTTGTGACTTGTAGCAAGATTGAATTCCGTGAGCTGTATTATCGCAGTTGCTGCGCGCTGGACAAAATCTGTGAAATTTACACTTTTGATCGCCGTCCACACAGGTGGTCTAGCAACGTTACTTACTCCCTTTCTTAAAAAAAAAAATAAAAGAAAATTTTTTCTAACGGGAAGTCGAGAGGACCGCTTTCAGCGAGAGCGGCACTCTTATTTCCTTCTGCGCTTCCGAGACTGTCAAGGGGACAGTAAGCTCTCTGTTTCCAAGAGGAGCACCACAGGCTAATTTTTTTTAGGGTAATTTAGTATTATCGACTGAGTTGATAACGTAAATTGGCCACCGTAAAGAGTTTAAAAGCTAATGTTTCGAGCGTTAGCCAATCGCTCCGACTAAGGGTTAACGCTCGAAACGTCAGCTTTTAAACACTTTGAGGTGACCAATTTACGTTATCAACTCAGTTAATAGTGCTAAATTACCCTGATATACTCTCCCACCGATGCAGCACCACAGTTTCTTTAGAAATTAGCCCCCTTAGTTTTTTTTTTCGTTGTTCTCTTATGTAGGGGTCAAGTTAAGGGCTGAGAAAATTTACAGTGATGCGAGAAATTAGGATTGCTTTCAATCGCTGAGTAATTACTTTACCATTAGCGGTGAAAGACATTCTCCTTCCTAAACTCAGAGCCATCCTCGATTAAATCTTTTCAGGTATCTCTAAAAAACTCCTTTTTATAACTGGCTTCGCTGCAACCCCCAGTGTACCAAATTTTAGTGAGGAAGTCCCTTTCTCAATTAGAACTGTTTTATTACAGACCCCAGGGAAATCTCTCCGAATGTACTGAGATCATCGTTGCTCGTCATAACGAGGTAACAGTAATGACTCTACAGCCGTTTACAAACGAACAGTTAAATTACTTCAAGTTCGCTTCTGTCGTGATTAATGAATTTCCAAAGATATTACGTCAAGCCTTCAAAACTAGGTGGGACAACACCTTTGGACATCTTCCTGGTTTCCAGCCCTGGGATGACTCCCTTGCCGTGCGGAATCTGTTCCTTGCCACAGAGGGTGGATCAACTAAAGTCCCTACTAATCTTCCGTATGATGACTGGGATTGTACTGCCTTGTTCCAAGCCACCATCTTCGCAAAGTCCTTTTCTATGCCAGACGGCAGAGGACATCAGAGAACACTCAGCTACTTGTTCGTGAGACCCCATGGACTCCCTCCCGGAGGTTTCCATACTTCTGTGATCAGCTCAACTGGGAACGATGCTGAGTCATTTACTTTGGCGATCGATCAACTGCGACTTTTACGAAATGCGTTCTGCCACTCACCGAGCTCCGAGATCTCAAAAGCAACATTCGACATGTACATCCAACTAACCAAAGACGCGTTCCAAGCCCTTGGTGTCTCATCCAGCTGTGTGAATACAATTGGAAGTTTAACTGAGGCAGATTTCCCAATAGAAAAAGTCCGCAAGCTCGAGGATGAGATCAGAAAAGAGGGCCAGGCTGAAAATGTGTTCCTCAAAGACCGAGTAGAAAATAAGCTGATGGGTATGATGTCTGATATCGCAGAAGCAAACCAGGAGCGGCGGGATGAGGCAGAACGGACAGTGACAGAGATAAAAGAAGGGTTCCGACAGCTGAAAATGCAAAATGAAGAACAGAAAGAACAAACTTTGGAGTCAGTGGAAAGAGCTATCAGGTCTCATAATGCGCAATCGAAGCGAGCAAGAGAAGAAGAAACAGCACACGTAGCCAAAGAGAGGAAGGAGGACATTCAGCGGTTGGAGAATCAGTTTCAAAGGCACAATGAGGAAATGAGAAAGGAGGCGTTGGAGCTTAAAGAAACTATCAGGTCTAACATCGAGCAATCAAACCAAGCAAGAGAGAAAGATGCAGCATCAGCAGCTCAAGAAAGAAAAGAAGAGATTCAGGAGTTGAGGAAACAGTTGGAGTTGGCAACATCATCTGTACCCCAACAAGAAATGAGTCAGAAACTTGCTGAATTGAACCAAAAGATTGATGACATCACCATAAAGACCACGAAACAAGGTAATAGGCCTGCTATTGTTTGTCTTAAAGACTACTTCTTTTCGCAGGAACAACAAGATAATGTTTTTTTGCGATTGTTATCTATTAAGGGGAGAACTACCAGATAGTCTTCAAGAAAGCAGTCAGAAACTTTGAAGGCCACTCTTCCTATAACAATAAATTTTGTTAATTAATGAAGCCAAACTTCTCACATAATTCTGAAATTATATTCAGAGGAGAATTTGTTTAGAAGTATTACGATACTAACCGCCGTAGAATACTGTACTTTGCATTTGCACATATGTTCATCTTCCGAACTAAAGTCTGTCATTTTGTCGCAGAGTTTAAGCCCACTCTACCAAAATCAAATCTTCCCTCAATGGTTCCTCACTTCACTGGGCGCGAGGAGGAATGCAACGACGTCATTGCTCACGTGACCAACGAAGCCACTCGCCTCGTTTCCATATGGGGCTCGCCAGGGTTCGGAAAAACGTCGACTGCAATCGCCATAGGACATCGCCTCCAAGCGCAAGGCCTGCCGGTATACTTTATTTCGTTACGTGGCCTAAGGTTAAAGAGTGATCTAACGTCGAGATTTCTTGGACTGTTTACGCATTCTGCGACAGCATCCCAGCGTTTGACAGCAGATGACGAACTTTGCTCAATTTTGGCTCAAATTGCAAATCCCTTCGTTTTCATCCTTGATAATGCCGATGATCTTTTTGAAAGTGGCCTTCCGAACGTCAAAGAGGAAGTTGTTGATTTAATTGGAGAAATTCTCAATTGCAGCCATAAGGTAACGTTTCTTCTCACCACAAGGGAATCTTGTCAATTCTTAAATCTGCGTTTCAAAGGACACCATGCTGTAAGAATAAGAGAGCTGGATGAGCAATCCTCCCTAAACCTTGTTCAAGAGCTGCTTCCAGAAGCGAACAAGTCTGATTGTATAAAAGTTAGGCAGATTTGCGGGAGTGTACCATTGGCCATGAAGTTGTTGTGTTCCTCCATTTCGGAGGATAATACCGCAACATCAAGTGGGTCTGTTGACATGTTCTTGAATACCACAAATAACATTTTGGAAATGTTGGACAACTCAGACTATCCCAGCAATCAGAGGTTGAAGTGTCTTTTTGACACCTCTTTTCAGAGACTGTCCGTAGAGGAAAGAGAAGCACTGGTCTCACTTTGCATTCTTCCCAACCACTTTGACCTACATGTCGCATCAGCTGTGTTAGGAATGAAAACACCCCAAGCTGCAAAAATGCTGCAAAAACTCCAGCGAAAATCCCTCATTGATGCTAGTTCCAAAGCTGAGAAATATTCCATCCATAAGCTGTTATTGTCATTTGTACAGGAAAAAGGGGAAAACGAAATGAAAGAAATGGTTCTCAACGCTAAAGTGCGTTTTTTTGAACTGTATATTTCCCTCTTCGAGACGCTAACTGAAAAGTTCCTCACAGGACGTTCCATGTCGGCTTTCCTTGAGTTTTTTCAGAATGAGGAAAGTTTCGTTCAAAGTCTAATTGACGGTTGCCTGGAGGAAAGAACAGTCAGTAAAGTTTGCAATGTTTTAATCAAAGCTGAAATGTATCTCTGCTTTCTTTACTGGCGAGATAGCGGTATGATTGACATCATTTACGAAACGGCAATAAAGGCAGCCAATAATCACAATCGGCTTAACTCTGTCCACAAACAACTGCTTCTGTCGAAAACGTATGGTAGCTTGGTTATGGGCGCAACTGAAGCGACGGAGAGGCTGCTGTCGGTGAATGAGCAAGTTCAATCGTCTACTGTCATCCAAGACACACAATTGCAAGGAGAATTCTTGACTTACCAAGGATTGTACAAACTTTTTACTGGGAGAGCTAAAGAAGGAGTGAGATATTTAAAAGAAGCACTTTCGTCATTGGAAACCACTCCAAAACACAGAATCCTAAAGCTCATTATTCTCCAAGTTCTTTCTCTTTATCAAAGTGCCAAAAAGAACCCGTTAAAGGCTCTTGACCTTTACAAAAAAGCAGTAGATGAATGCAAAGCAGTGGGAGACACGGGCTTAGTAGTAATTCCGGAGATCGATGAAACCAGGAGAGAAGAAGACAGGATACATCTAAACGAAACCAGACTGACCCATAATCAGCCACTTCAAACCGAAGTTGTCATTCTCGTGAGTCAAGCAGTAAAGAATATCTCCACTGATGAAACCAAGCAATTCTTTTGTAATTTACTGCTGCAAATACTGACGGAATCTGACTCTGCCATACCAACTGGTGCAACTGGTCGGTTCCATTTTCATTTATCTGGAGTAAGATTGCTCATCAAATTAAAAGGGAAAATGGACCGTGCAATTCATATAGAAGATATAGTGAATTTTCATCCCGAAAAGATCCAAACAAAACCTGAGAAAAACATTAGTGCAACTTCCTCAAATAACAGCGAACGCACGAAAGCCAACCACGTAGAAGCCTTGGAATCAGAGAAGCGTGCACTGAATATCAGGTTAAAAGTCCTGGGTGAAGAACATTCACAAACCGCTCACAGCTATCATTCATTAGGAGTTACTCAACATTCACTTGGAGACTTTGTGTCAGCCCTTGAGTCAAACAAGCGTGCACTGAATATCAGGTTAAAAGTCCTGGGTGAAGAACATTCACAAACCGCTCACAGCTATCATTCATTAGGAGTTACTCAACATTCACTTGGAGACTTTGTGTCAGCCCTTGAGTCAAACAAGCGTGCACTGAATATCAGGTTAAAGTCCTGGGTGAAGAACATTCACAAACCGCTCACAGCTATCATTCATTAGGAGTTACTCAACATTCACTTGGAGACTTTGTGTCAGCCCTTGAGTCAAACAAGCGTGCACTGAATATCAGGTTAAAAGTCCTGGGTGAAGAACATTCACAAACCGCTCATTCAGCTATCATTCATTAGGAGTTACTCAACATTCACTTGGAGACTTTGTGTCAGCCCTTGAGTCAAACAAGCGTGCACTGAATATCAGGTTAAAAGTCCTGGGTGAAGAACATTCACAAACCGCTGACAGCTATCATTCATTAGGAGTTACTCAACATTCACTTGGAGACTTTGTGTCAGCCCTTGAGTCAAACAAGCGTGCACTGAATATCAGGTTAAAAGTCCTGGGTGAAGAACATTCACAAACCGCTGACAGCTATCATTCATTAGGAGTTACTCAACATTCACTTGGAGACTTTGTGTCAGCCCTTGAGTCAAACAAGCGTGCACTGAATATCAGGTTAAAAGTCCTGGGTGAAGAACATTCACAAACCGCTGACAGCTATCATTCATTAGGAGTTACTCAACATTCACTTGGAGACTTTGTGTCAGCCCTTGAGTCAAACAAGCGTGCACTGAATATCAGGTTAAAAGTCCTGGGTGAAGAACATTCACAAACCGCTGACAGCTATCATTCATTAGGAGTTACTCAACATTCACTTGGAGACTTTGTGTCAGCCCTTGAGTCAAACAAGCGTGCACTGAATATCAGGTTAAAAGTCCTGGGTGAAGAACATTCACAAACCGCTGACAGCTATCATTCATTAGGAGTTACTCAACATTCACTTGGAGACTTTGTGTCAGCCCTTGAGTCAAACAAGCGTGCACTGAATATCAGGTTAAAAGTCCTGGGTGAAGAACATTCACAAACCGCTGACAGCTATCATTCATTAGGAGTTACTCAACATTCACTTGGAGACTTTGTGTCAGCCCTTGAGTCAAACAAGCGTGCACTGAATATCAGGTTAAAAGTCCTGGGTGAAGAACATTCACAAACCGCTGACAGCTATCATTCATTAGGAGTTACTCAACATTCACTTGGAGACTTTGTGTCAGCCCTTGAGTCAAACAAGCGTGCACTGAATATCAGGTTAAAAGTCCTGGGTGAAGAACATTCACAAACCGCTGACAGCTATCATTCATTAGGAGTTACTCAACATTCACTTGGAGACTTTGTGTCAGCCCTTGAGTCAAACAAGCGTGCACTGAATATCAGGTTAAAAGTCCTGGGTGAAGAACATTCACAAACCGCTGACAGCTATCATTCATTAGGAGTTACTCAACATTCACTTGGAGACTTTGTGTCAGCCCTTGAGTCAAAGAAGCGTGCACTGAATATCAGGTTAAAAGTCCTGGGTGAAGAACATTCACAAACCGCTGACAGCTATCATTCATTAGGAGCTACTCAACATTCACTTGGAGACTTTGTGTCAGCCCTTGAGTCAGACAAGCGTGCACTGAATATCAGGTTAAAAGTCCTGGGTGAAGAACATTCACAAACCGCTGACAGCTATCATTCATTAGGAGTTACTCAACATTCACTTGGAGACTTTGTGTCAGCCCTTGAGTCAAACAAGCGTGCACTGAATATCAGGTTAAAAGTCCTGGGTGAAGAACATTCACAAACCGCTGACAGCTATCATGAATTAGGAGTTACTCAACATTCACTTGGAGACTTTGTGTCAGCCCTTGAGTCAAACAAGCGTGCACTGAATATCAGGTTAAAAGTCCTGGGTGAAGAACATTCACAAACCGCTGACAGCTATCATTCATTAGGAGCTACTCAACATTCACTTGGAGACTTTGTGTCAGCCCTTGAGTCTTTCAAGCGTGCACTGAATATCAGGTTAAAGGTCCTGGGTGAAGAACATTCACAAACCGCTGACAGCTATCATTCATTAGGAGTTACTCAACATTCACTTGGAGACTTTGTGTCAGCCCTTCAGTCAGCCAAGTGTGCACTTGACATCAGGATGAAGGTGCATGGTGAAGAGGATCCACGAACTGTTAACAGCCTGGATACGGTGAAGGAGTTGGAAAAGTTGTTGTGAAGGAATTCATGATGAAAGGAGAGAAAAGGGAACATTACAATTAAGTATTTTGATAAAAGTCATTTATATATTCACACTAATATCAAGAGATCCTAGAGAAGGTAATTTTTTCGAAGATGATAGTTGAAAATTTGTATTACGATGTAGCAAGACCTTAAAAAGTATTTTTAGAAATAACCAAAGGAAAGGATAGGACTCGTCATTTTCAAAACGCAGCAGTGAAAAGTAAAGGAAGGGCACAAAGCTAAAACGTTATATACATTATTAAGTTGTTATCATAGAAATTCTTTTACTTGCCCTTTTTTTTTCTTCCTAGAGACTGTTGGTATATTTTTTAGTTTTTAGGATTTTTTGCGAAAAGACATATTTATAGTTGATAATATAAATTTGCTCTGTTGTCTCACGACAAAGTCACTAGATGTAGATCGCGACATTTCGACTGCTTACTGCAAGTCTTTTTCAGGCGATGGGGTCGACTGGTTCCAGTACAGCATTATGTATCATGGTGGCCTGCTGCGATTGGTGCATTTCGATCCGGCTATTGTTTTCGTGTACCATGGTTTCCTCGGGCGTTCGCTAATTTGCCGTGCATCGTTGGCTTTGATGTTTTCTATTTGTCGGCATCCACGCTTCCGGTATTTCGGCTTCGTTGTCCCTGTTTATGTTGTTTGGGTTATCTCTTGCCTCTTTCACTTTCCTTGTGTACCAATGGTTGTTTCGGTCAATAAACTTCATTTCGTTCCACAGCAGCTCGTGTCCGGTTCCGTTACCGTGTTCTGAAACCGCGGAATTCTGAGTGCGTGCGAGTCGTATGACCCTGTCGTGTTCTTTCATTCTTTCTTGCATGGGTCGTCCCGTTTCTCCGATGTAGACTTTGCCGCATGCGCAAGAAGCGAATCTTTTAGTTGATTGTATACCTCAAACTCGAATTGAATGATTAAGTGAGTTTGTTAGTGGAGAGATTTCCTATCGGAAAGAGTTTTCTAAAGAGACACAATTTACCTTTTAGCCCCTCTTGACAAAGCTCTTCCTAACAAAAGAAACTTGATGATTTTATTTAACCAGACAAAAATAGTTTCGATGGGGATATACGTACCAAAACAGGATTTCCCGCTTGTGGTAAAATCATAACCAAAATTTGAGACATAGTCTTATTTTTTTTTTCAATTTGAAATATATTTTTGTAAATGAATGGTCTTCGCAATTAGAAATTGCTGAGCCAGACACTTTTAATCTTTGTTCAATTAAACGCATTGTTATGGAAAACTTTTATCCTTAATTTTCCTGGTTGTTTTGTTTGTAATTCGATGACTACGTCATAGATCTTCTATTTGCAACACGTGATCAAAGTGAGAGAGCCAATGAAATTGCCGTATTGTCCACAGTAGCTACCATAGCAACCAATAGAACTGCTTCCAAATTTGGCCGAGTTCACAAACTGTGAATGGGACGAGTACAAATACAATGACTTGAGATGCCCCTCGTGGCGTCGAAATCCTCGTGGGCAGCGGCCATTTGCCAAGATGCAGAATTTACCTTCGGGCCACTCTATAGAAAGAACAATACGTATGTTTCGTGAGGGACCGATCATCATTTCTCACCTAGGGGGGAGAGGTGGTGATACAGTTTGTGTCACGATAAAATTTACCTGATCCCTCGTAGAGCATACAGCTCTGTAGGATTCTTATAAACCGCTCATTGATTGGAAGCTAATTGGTAGTCAATTTTTTGTAGTCCCCCTTTTGTACTCTGTTGGTGAAGACTGATACTCCTGGGTTTCGCCTTAAAACTATGTGATTCTACCAAAATCCCCCACCCCTCCTCTCCGGCGATTGAAAATGACTGGTCTCTGAAGTGTTCTCAGTTTCAAGAAAACGTGTGGTCCCGAATATTTTCAAACTATTGCGCAATACAAAATTTTTTATTGGGGAGGGGAGGTAAGGGTGTGTATACAACTTTTTCCAAAGATTATACAATCAATTTGAACAACTTTCGTGAATATTTTGAGGAACAACTGAGTCTATGAAACAGAATGAATATATTCTTACTCTCCTTGAGCGATGCACTTTCTTCTTGGGCATAACTTAAAGAAACTTTTAAAGTTTTAACCTCCTGTTCTAACTTGTCAATTTTCTCGGTGAGTTTTCTCTCCAAGTCTTCTATGTCATCCTGGGTTTGCCCTGTTTTCTCTTTTAGGCTTTTGAAGTGTTTGTTAAATGTGATGGTTGTCTCTGACCATACTGCTGCCAGCTCGTTAACATGGCCAACTGTTTTATTCAACTTCTTTGTTACATTTTGAATCTGCTTGGTGTGATTAGCGAACTTGTCAAATATTTGTTTAAACTCCTCCTCATTGCCTGTTCCTTTGACAGCTGTAGAGGCTTGATTGTTGAGATTTTCTGTGATTGCTGACAGGGCTTTGACCAGGCTAGTCACAGTTTCAAGATTGTTTGAAAGCGCGTTAATTTGATAAAAAATGTAATGTTGTAAGCGTTCATTATACAATCTGGAACCCGGACCGTGGAACCTGGATTCGGGGAACTTACGCATGGGTAAAAGACCTCATAGGGTAAAAAAAAGGTGGATATTTACCCGACTGTGAAGCGGTCAGGTAAATATCTACTATACAGACTGTTTTGGTACATAACACACATTGGCTTATTTGTTCCCATGAAAAGCAAAAAAAAAAAAAGAGAGAAATTTAGAAAAAAAAATTAAAGTAAATTTTCATCATATCATTTCAGAAGACAAAAAGGGAGATAAGATTTGCAGCTCAAATGTTGATATCACATCGCCTGGTTTTTTGACGATTTTTGACCTTGACTAATCAATAAATGAGGGATTCAAACTATATGGAATTTCTGTGTTGAGTGCCTTGTTTATCTGCCAGTTGTTCTAATAAAAAAACATTTTTCATACCTAGTTTGTCTAGTGATAAAAAACGATAAAAAAGGTCGCTGATTACCAAGTTTCATGGCCGGCACAATTTATCAAACAGATTTTAACTTGAACAGAATTCAAAACTAGTCAAGATTAGAGTGTTGTATCTGTGTTATTAGACTACTCAAATATTCACGCCACTGGAGCTGCCTCAACCCTTTACACCCTAACATCATTATGCATATTCTCCATACTGTTCTCTGTACATTTCCTAAGTTTTAACAAGGAGAATTTGTAAAACCATCACGAGCTTCGTTAGTTGCTGATCATTTCCTTTATTCTCGTGACTTAAACATTTGATTCAAGGCATAGATTGTAAAGAGAAATTAGAACCTTGTCACTCTTAGGGATTAAAGGGTTAAAGCGCCACTAGATTTGTTTTGGTTTATTTGTACTAGGCGGCCATCTAGATTACTCGCGTCCACGGTCTTGTAGTAAAAATAGTCATCCTCTATATTGTATAGAATTCTTTACAAATATCTACTGTTTGAAAGTAAATATGGCTTAGGAAGAGAAGTCAGTCGAAACACCAGTGGTTGGATAACTGTTGCTTATCTTCAAAAGAAGTGATAACCATTGTGTACTTTCAACATAATCGATGCGTGACGTATAACGTCTGCTACACGGTGGATATGTCACGTGCGCGTTTTTGAAAGGCTCGAAGTTATAGGCGAAGTGAGTTTCTCGCGTGGATCTCATTAGCTAAACGCGACGCATGAATCATCAGCGTATGTATTTGAGCCTGTTTGAAAAGAATGCATTTTATCACTGATTTCTTAGCATGATTAAATTTCAGAGGCGCACCGCCGAGGAAAAGAACTGCTTGTATCCTGTGGAAATAGCATTGTCTAAAAATTATGTGCAGTAGTGCACGGTGCATTTTATGGCTGATTTCTTGGCTTAACTAATTTTCACTCGCGTGCCATCGAGGAAAAGAACTGCCTGTATCCTACTCGCGAGCGAGGAGAGCGTTGGGCCCTCGTTCCTCGCCTCTTGACTTGCGTTTTTCCTGCGACTGGTGCAAAAAAGACGAGAAAATAAAAGAATTAGAACCACCCCGGGGAAGCTTAATTTATTCATCATGATGGGAAACAAACGTTTAAATACAACTAAGGCGTGTCAAAATGCATGCACCAATGACAGCTAACCATTATCACAACATGCAACATAAGTATGGACGTGTAAACGTGTAATCATTCGACCTCATCGCCTGACTAAACCGACGTCTAGCAGCGCGTCACGATCTGTAATTCACAGTTTGATTCTATAATCAATGATAACTATAAACTGTAAGAAAAAAGATTTACCATTCATTTATCGAGTTTATCCTTTTCGGTCTCAAAAAGTCCGTGTTCAAATGTGAGCGTCGGCTGTACGAAGGATAACTATTTAGAAAGGTCAAGCCCTGGGCTGAATCTGACCATAATAATCATGGCTATAGTCCAAAATTTGCGCAACATGGAAAGGGCTCTTGACGGGAACAACAACAAAATTTGATATACCTGATTACTTTATTTGTCATGTAAAATAAGATACTAAGTCACGAGAAAAACCTTGTGACCTCTGTCTGCGTATATTCGAATGCCACGGGCATCGGTCATAAGATTAAAATATCGTTTGTTCCCGAATACAAAGCAGGCAGCTTTCGCTTCATCCCATCAGCCGGTGGTTTCTGCTTCGTATTTAAAGTATTTGACTCGTTACCAAGACTCAGAGATTTCTTTAGTTCCGAACGACTGCGGAATCTTAATTGTAAAGGTGAGTAAATACATTCCCTTTTGTTGCCTGTTACTTGCCCAATCAGAACAGTAAATTGATAAACCGACTATTTCCCCTCGCTCGCCATGCGGCGTATTCAGCTTAAATATTGTAAGTTAATTAGGAGATGCGCCTAAATATCAACGACCTGAGAGACGAAGAGAAGTATTCTTTTACATCTAAGGCCAAAAATCAATCGTTAACATTTTATTTCAAGTAGCCAGACGATTTACTTTTATCTTGAAAGGGGGGGGGGGGATGAGGTATTTCCTAAAATGACTCAGATGGGGAGGCTCCGCCCATTAGATGGACCTTTTCCAGGCTTCAGATTTTTTTAAGGATCGTAATCTGTCGGTTTGATATTAAAAGTAGGCTTAAAAGGGGCACAAATGCTTTGTGGAAAGTGTATGAAACGGATGCCTTTTCTACAGTTGTAAAAGTGAGTAACGGGTCGGACTTCGACGGGAACCTTCTTATCTAGAACTTCTCGGAACACCCCCCGGTTTTGATACCGCCGAGAGCAGTTTCCTGGCGGCACTGCATCCTTATCACTTTTTTCCTCAAACATTTTACATTGTCATTGTAGCCAGACCCTGCCACACACAAGAGAAGAATTAATTCTCGCTGGCAATCTTTCACTTCGACAAAAGCGAGAGAAGGTTAATTATTTCTGGGTTTTATCAGGATCACATGTTTGTTGAGTCAATGCTGTCCAAACATATAAAACGTTTGAGAACTGTTGGACAGTAAAGTGGAGTTTACCCGTATAGAACGTTTATTTCGTTGGTAACCTACCCCTTCCCTCGGTCGTCGATGCCAAAAGTAACCTTTACTGAGCCTAAGCTTTAAAAAATTTTGCTTCTGACACTAATACGCTGTTGTTTCACTCTTTCGTAGGGAAAACTGTTGTAAACGAGAGAAGTTCACTTCGATTTAGACAAGAAAAGGTGAGACATCTCTGCACTTTATTTGGGAAACATATTTGCACGTTTGTCGGATAATACTGTAAAAACTGCTGTTGGAAATTAATAGGATTTGAGAAGGGAACGAGTCGACGGTATGCCCGAAAGTAGTGGAAGCAGCTCGAACAAGAACTTTCATATAATTTATCAGCTGAAATGGAGCCTGTCCGCCCATAGGGGAGTTTAAAATGTTCGCGATTGGGCAATAGTTGATTTATTTTGATTCAACCAAACTTTTTCGTCCTAAAGTTAATCTTGACATTCTACACCGACAGGCGGAAAGAGGATATAATCACTTGTTTATTTGATCTGTCAATACCATACTCTGACTGACACTTAATTTATTAGAACTGTTTTGTTTCCTCAAATTAACAGCTAAAGACTCAAGTGGTTGAAAACTATCAGTTATCAATTTTTTTTTTCTCATGCATGTTTCCATGATATTACTCGACGAACTGTACGCAAATATGGAAACCAAAAGTTAAGGGTTGTGTGGACGAAAAAGGGATTGAGGCGAGACAAAAGAAAGACACTGGCTCGTCCCAGTCTTACGCTTAATATATTTCAACGTTTAATAGTCAGCAAAGGTTATCGTATTCTACATATTCTACATTCAAGAATAGTTGAGTGATGTATGGAGCGCTATTTCGTAGATCTGGACCAAACACAAATTCACTGTTGTTAAGATTATATACCAAAGATAAATCTGTTCGGTTTTGTTTTAAGCTACTTTTTTTTGCGTAAAAAACAACAAACTTTACTGATTTTTGTCCGCACAGGGGCTTAAGGTCAATAGTTTGATAAATGATTTTACAAAAGAGCACTAAGTCCACGTCACTCTGAGCTCTTGACTGCTCTTTGTGGTATTTTTTTTAGCTCTATTTGTTCCCTGAGCGGTCGAAGCATTGCCCAATGTGTTTAAATTATTATTATTATTATTAGAAATATTTGACTAGCAGAAACTACTCCTGAACAGCGATATGGAAACTCTCGGCGAAACAAGACACTAGGTAGCTTCCGTTCTTGCCGGCCGGTATGTGTGTGCTCATTCGCAAGCAAAAAAATATGACTCCCCTCTACAGAAGCTTCTCTGTTCCAATGAAACACAGACCTAATCTCAAATTTTGACTCCAGGCGTTAAAAGTTTAGTTAACTGTTCTTCTTTCCGTTTTATTGCTGATTTCTTGGCTTAATACTGCTTGTATCCTACTCGCGAGCGAAATTAAAAGATAAAATTTAAAATGAATTAGAATTCGCTATAAAAATTGTTTACGCTTCTTCGGGAGTTTTAAAAAGCTGCAAGGAACCTGTGATCTGTAGCACATCTTATACATCTCTAGATACATAATATTTATTTAAAGACTTATCGGTCTGCAATGCGTAGATAAGCGCCTGGTTAGACTGAAGCTTACGGATCAGTAGCTTATAGTGTTTATAGCATCTCTTGAACCATATAGTAGCCTCTTCTACCCACCGTAATCTGTTGTTATTAAGAAGATTCATAGGAAAAGCACAGTCAAAATATTATGTGCAGTGTACGGTACATTTCATCGCTAATTTCTTGGCTTAATTAATTTTCACTCGCGCACCGCCGAGGAAAAGTACTGTTTGTATCCTACTCGCGAGCGAGGAGAGCGTGGGGCCTGCGTTCCTCGCCTCTTGACTTGCCTTCTTCTTGCGATTGATGCAAAAAAGACGAGAAAATAAAAGAATTTGAACCACCCCGAGGAAGCTTAAATTAACTAGACGCATAACTGCGTGAACTCAGTCTTACTTAGAATGTGTTTAAATTAGCAATTTTTGTGGCGATTTTCAAAAATTTAATTAATTTTGTCTTATCCTTCTGAATAAACATCTGCCAAGTCCATCTTGGTGCCCTTAATAAAACTT